AGTCATCGGCTATGATACTCCTAGGTCCATATATTTTCTCTCCGCTACTGCTGCATAGATTGTTTTGCTTGTCTTTTTAAATTCAGAATTAATGGTTACTACCATTTAGGCCATACCACGTGGTCCTTGCTTATCTTCGCTTTTCAAAAGCAAGTGATTGTTCAGAAGGAAACTTAGTGTATTGACTTAACCTCTTTCTCTCACAGGGAGTGGAGTTTGAAAGCATCGCCATCGCAGAGTTTAAGCTTCAAGAAGGTATGTCATCTTACGCCATACGATTGTATTCTTGTACATAACTAATATTAAAGGAGCTTAGCATTTTTTTGACCTTTTTGTTATAGAAATCAGATGATAAATTGATTAATTTGGATGAAGATGAACCTCATTCTCCAATGGCAGTAGAGGAAGCATTTGAACTTCCTGAAGGGTAAGAAAGGAGTTATTTCTGTTTACCTTTATCGATTGTGACTCGTGTTGGAAATAACTTAATTTTGGTGAAATCTGCAGGTTGCCGGAAGATATTTGCTATCCGTCGAGGTATGCAAAAAAAAGCTATCATGTAGTTGGTGTAGGTGTTTACTTTAATCCTCAATAAGATAAATGACCTGTTTTTTTTTCTTTTTCACTTCATTTGGTGATCAAGGGATGACCCAGACCTTGTTCAATTGTCTCTTAAGGATCTTAAATGCCTTTCACCTCGAGAATATCTTACGTCACCAGTTATAAATTTCTACATCAGGTGACTTTTGAGTGACAGACTTGCATATTTACATCATCTCTCTCGTGTTATGGCGTTTATGTAATTGTTCTTCTTATGTTTGGCTAGGTTCTTGCAGCACCAGGTGTTTTCGGAAAATCAGACAGCTGCTAATTCTCATTTCTTCAATACATTCTTCTACAAGAAGCTCATAGAAGCTGTTTCTTACAAGGTGATTCATTTTTCTGGATTTCTATGAAAAACAAGAATATCAACCAGTGGTTCTTGCTTCATTATATTTGGTTTGCATTTCAGAAAATTCGAGGTCCTATAGATGTTTTAAGTTTCATTCCTTTCTTACAGAAGGTTGAAGCTAAGCATATCATGTGCAATTATAACAAGAATCGAGAGAAACTGCTTATGAGTTATGACCGCTTCTTTGAATCTTATGATTCACTTATTATAACAAGTATGTGTTGATTGGTCTCTTCTTGTCCTTTCAATTAAACTAGGGTAACGACAAGGATGCATTTTTTGTGAAGTTCAGGCGGTGGTGGAAGGGTTTTGATCTATTCCGTAAATCATATATTTTTATACCGATACATGAAGAGTAAGTAATTTACTGATCATCTTCTATTGAATCCTACGATTGCATCTTTATGGCATGAATAGTAATTTATCGTTATCTGAGTATCGCATCTGAGTCTGTTCTTTGTAATGGAGATATAGTATCCTTAACACCAATTGTTAGAATGTTTAATGGTTTTTTTCTCTTGCATATTTCAGTCTCCACTGGAGCTTAGTAATAATATGCATCCCAGATAGGGATGACGAATCGGGACTGACTGTAATTCACTTGGATTCATTGGGATATCACCCAAGAGAAATAATTTTCGACAATGTCAAAAGGTGAGATCCATATTCCATACCACTTGCATACAGTTTCTCAGTGTTAAGACCATCTTCACTTTTCATTTGTGTGTTTTAATTAGGTTTCTGAGAGAGGAATGGAACTATGTGAATCAAGATGCTCTTTCATTGGATTTACCAATCTCAGGAGAAATATGGAGAGACTTTCCCAATAGGATCATCGAAGCTGAAGTGCAGGTTAGTCTTTTATCGACTTCTTAAGTTGCCAATCGTATTTTTAAAGAGAAATTATAAAAGTCATCTAAATTGTTTCATCACCTTCTCAATAGGTTCCGCAACAGAAGAATGATTGCGACTGTGGACTGTTTGTGCTCTTCTTCATAAAACGGTTCATCGAAGAGGCTCCTGAAAGGCTGAAATTGGAGGATTTGGGAATGGTGTGTATCT